GTTGCTGCCGTTGAACGACTCTTACGCACGGCAGCAACATGTTGCTCGCAATTGGTTTCAGCGGCAACCGTGGGGCGTCTGCTATTGAATGCAAATCCAGCCAGTTGTTTTAATTGCGTCTTGTGCCCTCCGCGTTTAATGTGAATTTATTTGCCATAAACCGTGAGTTATTTGCCCCACTGTGCGCTGGCTGGAGGAACGCCTTTCGCTCGCCTTGAATGGCTAATTGCAGTTGCTGTTGCTGCTGCTGTTGCTCTTGTCGGTGTTGGGTATCCATTATAATACCAAACAATTAGTGCAATTTAATTAAAATTACAGCAGCAACAATAGCAACTGCAAGTCATAGAGAGATAGACAACTTGACGATGACCTGGCCCGTCACTCAAGACTCCATTCGGAACTCCCACAAAAAACAGAAACAAGAAAAACCGACAGCAATCATCAATTATGAGTGAAAATTCCAGGCCACTGAGGCGCCAAAGGTCCGATGTGCCCCACTGTGCGCGACATTTGCCTTTGGCTTAGGGCCAAAAAAAATCTCCAGTATTTTTTATTAATTAGTTTTGTGTGTTTTTTCGACTCTAAATTCCATTCTCTCAGCTGCCTGGCCTAATCTCTTTCGATTTATTTGTTTCAAGTTCTAATTTATTTCGCTTTTGATCTGGGTGTGTGGCTTTTAAGGCCACACCTAGTGGATCTGAGCTGGCGAAACTTGTCAGGCAATTGTATAAACGGCCACTTATCTGATTGCAATCCGAGGTCGCCTCGCATTTCGCATTTCGCATCTCACGGATACTCACTCTCTCGACCGAGCACGTTTCGTAATCAACATTTTGACATAATAAGAGCGCCTCTCTTCGTTTTTTTTTTGGGAACCCCAAGACCAAGACCCTTGGTGTAATTACAACACGTAATATGCGTAATATTCACAGCATAAAATGTAAATGGGGCAGAAGAAATGGTGCCAAAGGATAGGGAATGGGGGGAGCATCAATCAAGACCTTTTGGTGATGATGATGTTAATGCTGCATGTATGAAAGTCTGTACTTCAAAGTCTGTGGGTGCGTGGGAATTCGATTCGCCCGGTTTTCGATACGGTTCATCAAGGAAATTTCCCAGGGCACACACCGACTTGGGGTTAATCCAGAAAATGCCACATTGAGCCATAAAATAATAGAGTGACTCGCACTCGAACCACATTTACTCCACACACATCCATCTATGGCTGCGACAGTTTTAATCGTGGTTTGATGTTGCTAATGGTAATGCACTTTCTTGGCCGGAGGGTTGCCTATATGGGAAAGCATACTACATACACATGTGGAAAGCCACATGCTTACAGCTCAATGTGTGAGAAAATTTTCCCTCTTTTCCACAGTTTTTGCGGCCAGGGGCAGCTATTTATAGAGAGAGCCAAGAGATGCGTGTGAAGCTGGCAGTTTTTCCTTTAGGGAGGAAAAAAAAGTACCATGGCGACACTTCCCCCGCTTAGAAACGCATCAATTTCATTTATTTATTTGCCACTTGTGGCAGCACCACAACAATCCCAATTATTCAATTGATTCATTCCCCGGCGAAAGGGAGAACAACGTTCATTTGTTGACATTGTCGCTGCATGGAAAATGGAAAAAAAAAGACAGAAAAATCAAATCTTTGTCGGAATTGTGGCAGCGGAAACAGGCAATTTCACTGCAGTTGCAAGAGTGACTGCAATATATACATACGTATATCGTACATATGCATATTGGAGTTGGACTAGGAAATGCAATTGCTACTCCACATCCGGGAAGTGGATTTGCCGTGCTTGCTCTACATTTCAATTAGCGCCTCTCGCCAACACAACACTCACACTCACATCCACACCCACAGAAGTTCGCATAATCGCCGGCAATTGCCTTCAATTTGTGGGCTCAAGTGCGCGCATCCACAAGATACATTTACAGATACAAAGATACAGTTACAGATACACTGTCTCAGAATTAATGATTTGCTTTGTCAGCCACGAACGACGCCAGTTGACAAATGCGTTTCAATTGTTTGTCCGGCCGCCCAAGAGAAATGCTTTTGTAAATGCGCAGGCGCACAGCTTTGTTAATATCTGACTCATTTGGGTGCAAAAAAAAAAAAAAAAAATTTAATATTAAATAAAATATTTTTGTATCTTTAAAAATCATTTAGTTATTTTTTACTTCTATCTTTTGGTGATCAACATATTTTTATTATTTTATGTGATTTCAGTTTTTTAACGAATTAAGTTTTAGATTTCCAAAAACTGTTAGATTTTAAATAAAATAGGTATTTATTTAAAAACTTCAAAGCCCAACCACTGGTATAAAACCAATTAAAAGTTTTTTGTGCCTACGTAAAGTTTATTTCCAAGTTCAAAATCAGGTTTTTTTCTCTGCACTCTAAATGGAAAGCATCGAAAACTGCATTCGAAGTGGGAAGATTAATTTCCCTTTCAGCTCTCGATGCATTCTGTTAATGAGGCAAACATTTTGGTTGATTTAAGTGCTCGGCCTGCCGCTTAATGTAAATAACTTGTATGTCTGCCCCCACAGACATAATGACACATTGATTTGTATCAATCCGCGAAACTCGAAACTCGAGACCCAAAAGGCCCGAGATACTTTCTGCTGCTCGGGCAGATGACAGCTGACTTATTGCTAATTGCAGGAGAGCCTGGCTTGTCTCATTCCGAAAGGAGAGAAGTCGAGAAGGCAAAAACAAAACCGACACCAAAACCAAAACCGAATGAAATCAGTTCGTCATCGTCGTCTGTCGAGGTTTTTGGCGATCGCTTATCTTCGGTCGGCTGTCAAAATACTTTTAGCGCGGCCTGTTCGTTCGTTACTAAGTTGCCTGCCGCTCTTAATGCGAAATCTATTAAGCCCCGGTCTTGAAACGCCTGCAACCCCAGATATATCTCCTTTGGCCGACTTGAAGTGCCCCGTCAATCATTTTTTATTGTGGCTCCAGACATAAACTCATTTCGCCTGCAATGTGGATATGGAATGACGACGCAGCCGCCAACGCCCCGCCAGCGTTTCTTATTTTTTATTTTTCACTTTTAGTGGGTGAAAGGGGGTTAAGTGTGGGTCGGGGCGGGGTTTAAAGGGGTTTAAACTAAGGAAAGAGCCCAGCTGGCGAACTGATCGAAATCTGCCCACATCAGCAGCACAAGCAACAACATCGGTTCAATCTATATAGCTATATGGCAACAGCAGCTGCTGCAGCAGCGCGAATAATTGGAAAAACGGCTATGGAAATAAACTAAAGTTTGCACTCGTTTCGCATTTCAATTTTTCTCGGCCAACGGCCACACACTAGCATGCACAGGGAGAAATTTGTATATATAGGGAATATGTATATGTTTAAGAATATTTTATTAAGCCTGTCAAAACCTACAAAAATATAAAAAGGATTGAATGCCATACATATATTTAATTTAAAATAGCTTTATAAAATATTTTTTAAAATTTAAAATAGCCTTTTTCCAACTATTCAACTAAAGATTTTTCTGCGAGATATTAAATAGAAATGTAATATTCTTTTAAACAAATCATATTCTTTGCCATTTCATATTAGCTAACATATCTGCTTAAATTATTAAATTTGACTTATTTGATTAAGAATAAGATTTTCTCTCAGTGCATTGTAGTGCAATCCGATGCACGGATAAACAAAGAAGCGGAGAGCCGGCGAAACCCAAAACAAACAAACAATTTTCGAAGCGGAGAAACAAAGAAAAGCCACCATCAGCGATCCCCGAATCGATAACCCGAATCGAAAGAACCGCCGAATGAAAACATTTTCATAAATGCCAAAGAAATCAGAAAGAGGGGGGATAGCGTTAATTAAACGACAACGAACATAAACTAGCGTCTAGATTTCAATTTGGAAGAGAAGAGGGAAAGCAGCTGCCTTTCTTGAGAGGGGGACTGGGTTATACTCTGTGCATAATTAAGCAAATTAAACGCGCATTTTTATGCGTCACGAAGCAACTAAAGGCTGGAGTTGGAGTCAAAGTTAGGGAGAGATACACATGGGCGGTGGATTTAGAGGGAGTGAAACTGGGGAGTCGCGGCCTTTTCGCACAGGTATCGCATGTGGCAGCCACAACAGCAGCAGCCAAAGTTGTAGACAACAGCGGCAATATCATCTCGGCAGGCAATTTATGAATGCCAGGCTTTAGGAGTAGCATCCACACACACTCCACCCCCCAATCGCTCCCTCTCACCCCAAGTAAGTCTAGTCGCGGCTTATGCAATAAAAATTATATTAAATTACCCAACAGACGCAGCGACAAGCAAAGACAAGGCAAGCCAATCCTCCAATCCTCCGAGATTCGATTCGATTTTATTGAATACTTACGAGCTCAACGAAAGTCGCGAAGCGCCGAGAAAAGTGCTGGTTTGGTCGAAGATGAAGATACTCTTTGAAATAAAATGGAATAATAATATTTAAGATCTAAATTCTTAAGCTCATTGATTTGTAATATCTCCGCTAAATCTTCACAGCCTTAAAAGCCAAAGGTTTGTTTTAAACAAGCTGCTGATTAAGATTAACCTAAACCTGATTACCCAGAATATTGTAGAGTATGACTTGCAAATTTCTCTTTATCGAGGTTCCCCCTTTTTTTTTTTGTTGGAATCCAAGCGAATTCCCGAGTGGGGATCTCCGTCGACGAACAGAAAACAGGGAACTGCACCCAAACCCCAAGATAATGATGGCCAGCTTGGTTACTTGGACCTTTCAGCTGCCGCTTAATGCCATCATTAGTCCACCGTGGGCTACCGGATATGGCTGATCGTTTGTCACTATAAAAACTGCAGCTGCAGATCTTTATTTAGGTATATGTACTCTATATATATACCTCCAACCCGGTAATTGCAATCTAAATTAGTGCACTTTTTATGCGGCTCAACGGAAACAGCCTAGCATATATGCTTTATTGCTGAAACTAAACGATTTGGATAGGAATACAGATTACTGACTGACTAACCGGAAACACAAGAACCACGAACTCCGTAGATGGCATCATTGGCTTCGGGCAGTTTGCAGACTTTACCAGAGGCAGGACGATTCAATCGATGGGCGAGGACATTCAGATCCAGATTGTTGACCCGCACCATTAGAGTGGGCTCCTTTTCCACCGAACTACAGACCACAGTCTTCTGGCAATTCACAGGTGGACCGGTGGGCAAAAGTGGCATATTCCTCACGGGGGCATCGGGGAAAACACCCATTATGTGGGGACCAACTTCGACACCCACATTGGGATTATTACAGGATAGGCAGCATAGTCCATTGTTGATAAAACCAGCTGCTCTGGGACAGGCATCCTTCTCCTCGATCAATCTCAAACGCCGATCGATATCATCGAAGCGATCGCGAATGTATTTCTTCAGAGCCGGCATGTGCACCTTATCCAATTTGCTGTCCAGCATGTCCTGCAGCTCCTCCATGGTGCCCAAAAAAGTAAGATTGTATTCCTGAACCAAAGATCTCAGATTCTCGATCTCCACCACACACTGCTTGACTATTTCCAGGCGCTTAAACAGAGCCTCGGTTTGCTTGAGGAACGACTGTAGGGTGATGTAGAACCTCTCCAGCTTCTGGCTAACCTCCTCCATTTGACTCAAAATCGGGGTGGCTATGCGGCGCATCAGCTTCTTCATGAAGTCCATGTTGGCCAGCAGACTGCAGGCCACCTTGTTGTCCTCGTCGCAAACGGTGCAGAGATCCTCGCACGGCGAGGCATACTGTTCGGCCTGGTGGCTCTTGTACTTCTTGTCCTTGGCCCGGTTGCAGATGCGAATCTGCTGGAAGTGGCACTCCAACTGGCACTCCAGCTGCTTGATGCGCTGCTCCAGCTCCTGCACCTTGTCCAGTTGCTCGGAAATGGGCTTCACTGCCTCCACATCGAAGGGCAGGGGCGAGATCTTGGACTGCTCGAGGATGCGTTCCATGCACTTGCCCTCGAAGCCGCTGATGCGCACCACATCCTGCTGGCAGTCGAGCTTTCTTGAGCAGCACATTCAGAAGGCTATGTAAAACAGCCACATTTACATGGGTTAATTCGGGAACACCCAGGGCAATCCTGGTCATCTCCTCCAGGGTCAAGTCCACGTGGGCGGGCATTGTTTAAAAATATTTTAAAATAATTTTTCTAATTTAATTTAACTTGTGTTTTAATGTGGACTTTTCTGGTTATTTTTTTCCAGGTGGTTCTGTCACTTTGACGACGACAACTATGTCAATGTGCCGCGGCTGGTGAAACTACTGGACGAGTATAGTCCCAGTGTAGACTGGTATCTGGGCAAGCCGAGCATCTCGTCGCCGCTGGAGATCCACTTGGACAGCGTAAGTGCAAATGCCAGTTATTTCTGTTATTTCAGCATATTTTCCATTTATACATACAGTTCGTAATTACAAGCTGCGATCGCCTTTCTCCATCTCTATATCCATTGGCCCGGCCCAAAAGCCGAACCGTGGCCGTTATTTATGTGGCCACCATGGCCATTTGTCTATGCCGCCATTTGGCTTCCAGCTGCCAGCGCAAGCTATCATTAATAACCGATATGATCTGGCGCGGCCAGAGCAATAGCAATAGCAAAAGCAACAGTGAAGGCATCGGCAACGGCAGTAGTCTGAATCCGAGTACGAGTCCCAGTTTGAGTTCGAATTTGAACCCGTTTTCCTGTGCAGGCCATTTGAAATATCGCCAGCTGATCCCGTAATAAATGTGCATGGGCCACAGGTTTTATCTTGACTTAGCCAGGTAAAACCCATTCAAAAACTGGCACACCACTACCAAAATCCAAGCCTGATCGCCGCAGCGTGCATAATTAAAAAAACCCCGAAAACTTTACGCTTCATTTGCGGGAGAAAGATCCTGTCAAGTCTCGGCTTACCCACGTATTAAGTTTCCAACTCGCACATGTCCATTTACATGGTCAATTAATCAAGCCACGTTTCGCTTTTTGGGCTTTTTTTTTAAAGTCAATTTTCTCTGGGCCATTGCCAAAAACCAGAAATGAGATCGTACCGAAAAAATGGATATTTATTTGAGTTTATCCTTTGGTCCAGCCATCCTCTTTTTGGGGATGGGACCCATTCATGAGCCAGTTCTTCCGTTAATCTTACCCTTTCTTCTCTCTTCTTTTTTACGAACCCACAGAAGAACACGACAACCAACAAGAAGATAACCTTCTGGTTCGCCACTGGCGGCGCTGGCTTCTGTCTTAGCCGGGCCCTGACTCTCAAAATGCTGCCCATAGCAGGTGGCGGCAAGTTTATCAGCATCGGCGACAAGATACGTTTTCCGGATGATGTCACAATGGGTTTTATAATAGGTGAGTTTAGCCTGATTGCATCCTGAATTATAGCTTATAAAAATATCGATATTTTTGATATTTTCACATTGTTGTTTGAATAATATAGATTAAATATCGAAATGTTTTTTAAGCTCTATCCCGAAATCCCCGAACTTTAACTTATTCCTGTTTTGCATTTTATAGAGCACCTATTGAAGGTCCCACTGACCGTGGTAGACAACTTCCACTCGCATTTGGAGCCCATGGAGTTCATTCGCCAGGATACGTTCCAGGACCAGGTGTCCTTCAGCTATGCGCACATGAAGAACCAATGGAACGTGATCAAGGTGGACGGCTTCGATCTCAAGACCGATCCCAAGCGTTTCTACTCTCTGCACTGCCAGCTCTTCCCCTACTTCAGCTTCTGCCCGCCCAGATGAAGTGGAACTGGAAGGGGGTGATCCTGATCCAGGGATCCCAGGATACTAGGCTGTTGCAGGCGCACGTCTGCGCTGGATCGGTTGTGAACCGATGGGGCAGGCGTCAAAAACAAATCTCGCCACTGTGATCTATGTTTAAGTTTATGGTATACGAGCGATGAGTTCTTTGTATATAACTATCGAGACAAACAGATGTGCTTCCTAATGGTGTATAAGTTATACTGTAGCTCTAGGTCTTGCAATTCCAACACACTTCCAAGTGCTTCCCTATAGCCTTACACGGATTCTTCCAATCGACTTAGTGCGTAGTTAAATTAATGGTCTAGTCTACGTTTAAGTTATCTTAGCTTCAGAGAGACCGCTTGACCCTCTGCTGTGTAATACTGTAATGCAGTCTAATATTGGCCTAAACTAGCAATATGCGTGTATATAGTAGATGTATTTAACTAAGGAATGTTTAAACCATTTTGTTAATTTTTAGTTTGCTTGAATAAAAACTGAATATTTTATTAAAACATTTGATTTTTTAATGGTTTATGTAGCAATGGGTGATAACGTAAGTATTTTCGTTATATTAAGAAAAAGGTATGAAAGACAGATCCATAACGTCTAACTTGAAGATAACAGCGCTCTTCTCTGCGCTTCTCAATGTTAAAAGTTACTGGAAAAGTGATACAAAGTTATTGTAATTGTTTAGGATAAAAATGATTTCCGTGGTCAGCATAAACACAGTTGAAGCATTAACTTCAAATAAGTCCAATTAAATTGAGCGCAACATTCAAAGCAGGCTTAAACTGAATCAATAAAATGGCAAATTAACTTCACACACAATTGGCTGAAAATGGTTCTTAAATCCCCTTCACATGAATAATGTTGGCCATTTAAAATGCGGAAAAAAATACTCTGCATGGCAGACAGCATTTGGGAATGCAAATCTCACTCGAGGGTCCTTGAACTTGGATGTTTTCGACTTGTTGGCCCATCGATGTTGGTGCGGTTGGCCGGCTTATCGGCTTCGTGTCACCGAACATTCTGTCTACTTGTTGTTATTCAGCTTCCAGCTTCCTGTTGCCGTGCGCATTTTGCATTTTTACGAAAATTCGTTGTTAATTAACGCTAAAAGCCATGTTTAAGCCGCTAAAGCGTTAACTTTCGGCCGATATGGATCAGGGGACAGGACAGCGACTGTGGGCCGGAGGCAAAAAGATAGACATTGACATGTCCACGTCGATGCTCGATGCCCGACGATGTCCATGTCCATGTCCTGCTCTGAGCAGAGACAATGCGCTCTCCATCTCCGTCCGACGAAGTTGAGGGTGCCGGTGCCTCACGATACGGCATCTCGGCTCCAATGACATGTTGCGAATTTTTATAAAAGACTCACTCGACGGCAGTCTCCTCCTGCTCCTCTCGTGATATGTTAAACAGTTCTGGGCAATTATTTTCCTCCGCTGCCTTTTCGCCGTTGATACTGTGCCTGTATCCAGTTTTTAGTTGGCTTATATGCAGATAATCAGTTTTTAGTCCATGTCGGGGCTCAGTTTGGGGCGCGCTTTAATGAATGAAAGCTGCCTGCCCGCCAGGAGCCCGGTGTCTGAATGTCTGCCAGTCTGCCTGTCTGTCTGCTGCGGAGAACTGCAAGGAGCTCCATCTGTAGCAACTTTTGTGCCTTGTTCGTTTTAATTGCAAGTGAAATCCTTGTCAGCGCTGTCTGCCCGTCTGGAGAGTCACAGCATCGATAATGAATTAATTATCATATATTAAAAGTCAGTTTGCAGCAGTTGCCCCCTGATAATCTGCTTTGCTGGGGCACGCCTTTGCATATTTTACGGATTTCAGAATTTAATGAACTTCAGTCTGGAAACTCTTGGAACCCAATTTTAGTTTTATGCCTCACGCATTTTTTTGGTTTTATTTTTTTTCTTTGGATTTTCGGATTTTCATTCATCTCTTCTAACCGCAAATGAAAGATAAAGTCGTAACCGAAAATCCAGTGGCAATAACAAAGGCAGCCGAGCATTTTTCATTTCGACTTGGCGCCGCCCACGAATCAGAAATCGGATTTAACACAGCGGATGGGTTTCTTTTGTCCAAGAGCATTTAATTTGCGGTTAGCTCCGGCCAAGTGATTCATTAGATACAAATTGTGGCGACTCCCCCGTCCGATTCGTTCCCATGCTCTCGATTTATGCAAAATCATATTTTTAATTGAATCTCTTGGCTGGGGATTTGGGTAAAGGATTTGGCAGCCGAACAGCAAGTGCTGTATTTTTAAGGGTCTTTCTTCATTTTCCGTGGCTAACTCATTTGTATGCAGAGCAGGCGACAAGGCGCAAATTACACGAGAAAATGCCCGAAACAAGCTGATCGGCGATAAGGAACGCAAAGTATCTCGTAGATGCGCAGGCATTGCGGATCACTGCGTGCCCAGTGTATCTGAGCGATTGTTATCGTCGGCCAGTCCTGTCAACCTCGGGGTTTGCATTCAATTTTGGTCAGCCCGCGAAATGCCTTAGCTTCAGACTCAGCCTCAACTTCCACTTCTACTTCAGCCTGGAATCTCTGCGAGCCTCCATCGAACCGAACCGGTAGCAGCCTTTTTTGGCCGCCAAGGCAAGCAAATAATTTGTCCGTCTGTCGCAGCGTCCTTTTGGCCTGCCAGTCTTGCTGCCTGCCTCACTGCCTGCCTGTCAGTCACTCAGCTAGTCCGCAAACTATAAATTAGTGCAGCGGCCGGAGCTCCCGGAGAGATTTAGATGGAGATGGGAGCTAAGAGCTGAAACCCGGGTTCGGAGCCCAGCGCAACACCCAAGTGTGCCAGCCCCTGAATTTATGTTGTGCATGCCAGCGATCGGGGCGTGGATGCGGAATGGGGTTCGCTATTCCAGCATCGCCAGCAGTTCGGCATCGGCAACAGGTGAAACGAGCAGCAGACTAGATCAACTGCCAGGCGGCGGAGAGTGCCAGAGTTGCTCATACCCTGGAATCGAGGGGTATAAGGAGCTGAGATCCTTATTTGTGTTTTTAAATATAATATTCGATATACCATTACTAGAAATATTCGCTTGGCTTAATCAATACGACAAAATGTTAGAACATGTAGAACATGTGTTATACTAGATATGAAGTCCTTACGATTTTTAAAAGATATTAACATAATCAGATTTCCGTCGCTGACTTTTAAAGCGACCGAATAATTGTAGCTCTTATAAAGATTTCTAAAATTTTAGAATAATTCTTTAATCTAGGTTAAATTAACTTTTAACAGCTCATAAATCCAATGAGTAACGGAGCCCTTCTCTGCGCTTCTCACTGTAGACAGATAAGTTAAAGAACAATAGAAGAAATATTCTTTATTTTAAAAATCACTTCTACTACATTTTGTAGTGTATTGCAGGGTATTTCTCACTTCTCATCACCCCGTCACCGCGTGAAATATGCTTCCCTGTCTATAATTGG